GTCCTGGGATTACAAGCGTGAGCCACAGCGCCTGGCCCCATTTAATTCTTATAACAATCATAAAAAATACAGATTATTAGCCCCAATGACAGAAGAGGAAACTGAGGCTCAGGAACATAAAGTAGTTTGTCCAAGTTCACACTGGGACTGGAATCCGGGCCTGACTTGAAAGCCCACACTCCTCTCAATAGATCACAATGCCTCCCCTGTAGAGCAGAAATGGAGAATTACATTATTAGTTTGCTTTCATTCTGTTCTTACCTCATGCTCAAAAGAGTTCAGGATCTCTGAGGTAAGGCCAACTTTATGTGTGCTGGTGCAGAAGGCTATAAGCTCGCCTACCATTCCCTCCTCATTCTGTCCATACTGAACACAAAGCTCTACCACTGTAGAAAGGAAAATTGGACAAGTAAAAACTTAGTTCATTTGTCGAAGCTTTCACCTAGAAAAGCAAAAATAATCCTGGTTTACTCAATCAGTGTTTACTCATAATCTATTAGTGCCAGGCACTGTTTTGGGCAATGAGAAAACAGAAGCATCCTTGTCCTCACAAAGCTCGCTATTGGGGGGAAACAGAGGGGGACAAAGGAAGAATCAGTGGGACCAAATAAAGAATCATGGAAAGGCCCAGGTGAGAAATGATGGTAGCTTGGATCAAGGTGGTGGCAGTGGAGATGGTGAGAAGTGGTTGGACTCTGGATAGGACTTTACATACTGGAAGTGAAGCCAGTGGGATCTGCTAACTGAAGGTATAAGAAAAACAAAGAAGGCAAGGATGATGCTGATATTTTTAGCCTGCGCCACAGGAAGAGTGGTGTCCCTATTAACTGAGATGGGGAAAAGAGCCGGAGGCACTACTCTGAGGAGAGAGAGGAGATACCAGGAGCTTAGTTTTAGACATGCAGAGTCTGAGGTGCCATTTAGACATTCAACTGAAGACAGTAGGCTGTTGAACAAGCCAGCCTGTAGTTCAGGCAAGCGGTGTGGGCAGAGGTATAAATTTGGGAACCATCAGTAAATACATGGGATACTAAAGCTATGAGATCCCAGGTGAGATCACCAAGGGAGCAAGCGTATCTAGAAGGGAGAAAAGATCCCAGGCTTGAGTCTTGGGGTGCCTTAGGGCCTCTGAGGATGAATCCGCAAAGCCTGAGAAGTGGTGACACAAGCAAAGCTTAAGAAAAACTAGCAGTAAGCCAGGCGCAGTGGCTCATGCCTGTAATCCCAGCACTTTGTGAGGTTGAGGTGGGCATATTGCCCAGGAGTTCGAGATCAGACTGGGCAACACAGTGAAACCCTGTTTTTATAAAAAATACAAAACTTAGCTGGGCTTGGTGGCATGTGCCTGTAGTTCCAGCTACTCGGGGGCTGAGGTGGAAGGATTGCTTGAGCCAAGGAGGTTGAGGCTGCAGTGAGCTGTGATTTGCCCATTATACTCCAGCCTGGGTAACAGAGCAAGACCCTGTCTCAGAAAAAAAAAAGAAAAAGAAAAACTAGTAGTGTCTAAGAAGCTAAGAGAAAAATGTGTTTTAAAAAAAGAAAAAATGATAGTGTCAAGTGCTGGTGCTAATTGCTAATTCAAGATGAGGACTGAAAATTTATCACTGGTTTTAGCAAGGTGAAGGTCACTGGTAACTTTGAGTAGAGAAGCTTCAGTGAAGTGGTGGCAACAAAAGAACTTACTGAAATGGATTTAAGGAGGAAACATTTAAAGATGGCAAGCAAAATTTTTTTCAGCAAAAAAAAATAGAAGTTTGTCAGCTGAGAGTGAAGGTGGAAGAGAAGGATGTTACAGGAGTAGGTGGAAAACAGTCACCTGGAAGACTCTGAAGAGACCAGGGGCCTGGCACAATGGCTCACGCCTGTAATCCCAACACTTTTGGAGGCCAGGGTGGGTGGATCACCTGAGGTCAGGAGTTCAAGACCAGCCTGGCCAACAACGTGAAACCCTGTCTCTACTAAAAATACAAAAAGTAGGCCAGGCGCGGTGGCTTACGCTTGTAATCCCAGCACTTTGGGAGGCCGAGGCGGGATGATCACTTGAGGTCAGGAGTTCAAGACTAGCCTGCCCAACATGGCGAAACTCTGTCTCTACTAAAAATACAAAAAATTAGCCGGGTGTGGTGGCTGGTGCCTGTAATCCCAGTTACTGAGGAGGCTGAGGCAGGAGAATTTCTTGAACCCAGGAGGTGGAGGTTGCAGTGAGCCAAGACTGCGCCACTGCACTCCAGCCTGGGTGACAAGAGAGAAACTCCATCTCAAAAAAACAAAACAACAACAAAAAGTAGCCGGGTGTGGTGGCGTGTACTTGTAATCCCAGCTACCCGGGAGGCTGTGGCAGGAGAATCACTGGAACGCGGGAGGCAGAGGCTGCAGTGGCTGAGATCAAGCCACTGTACTCCAGCCTGGGTGACAGAGCAAGACTCCATCTCAAAAAAAAAAAAAAAAAAAGGGCCAGGCACTGTGGCTCACATTTGTAATCCCAGCACTTTGGGAGACCCAGGCAGGCGGATCATGAGGTCAGGAGATCGAGAGCATCCTGGCCAACATGGCAAAACCCCGTCTCTACTAAAAATACAAAAAAATTAGCCAGGCATGGTGGTGCGTGCTTGTAGTCCCAGCTACTCGGGAGGCTGAAGCAGGAGAATCGCTTGAACCCAGGAGGCGGAAGTTGCAGTGAGCTGAGATCACACCACTGCACTCCAGCCTGGCGACAGAGCAAGATTCCGTCTGGGGCGGGGGGAAGAGACCAGGGAAATATGGTTTACTTTCAGGAAACATTAAGGTGCCATTGAGGTTACTGATGATCCAAAGTCCACAATTCCAAAGCCATTGCCAATTTCGCTCTACACGAGATGAAAGCAATTGGCATCTTGGCCTGAAGCCTTTACAAATCTGGTTCGCATAACTAATTTCTCTCATGCTGATTTCATGCTTACCACATAAATTTCTGACTATGATCAGGTTTTCCACTTAAGTCTTCTTTTTTTTTTTTTGAGACAGGAGTCTCGCTCTTGTTGCCCAGGCTAGAGTGCAATGGCGTGATCTCAGCTCACCACAACCTCCACCTCGCAGGTTCAAGCGATTCTCCTGCCTCAGCCTCCTGAGTAGCTGGGATTACAGGCATGTGCCATTACGCCTGGCTAATTTTGTATTTTTAGTAGAGACAGGGTTTCTCCATGTTGGTCAGGCTGGTCTCGAACTCCTGACCTCAGGTTATCCGCCTGCCTCAGCCTCCCAAAGTGCTGGGATTACAGGCGTGTGCCACTGCGCCTGGCTAGTCGTCTTTTAAAAAGAGAAGGACGGAGTGCGGTGGCTCAGGCCTGTAATCCCAGCACTTTGGGAGGCCAAGGTGGGTGGATCACTTGAAGTCAGGAGTTTGAGAGCAGTCTGGCCAACATTGTGAAACCTCTTCTCTACTAAAAATACAAAAAAAAAAAAAAAAAAAAAAAAAAATTAGCCGGGTCTGGTGGTGGGCGCCTGTATTCCCGGCTACTTGGGAATATGAGGCAGGAGAGTCGCTTGAACCTGGGAGGTGGAGGCTGCAGTGAGCCAAGCTCACGCCACTGCACTCCAGTCTGGGTGATAAAGCAAGACTGTCTCAAAAAAAAAAAAAAAAAAAAAGAGAGAGAGAGAAGGCACTGGGCATGAAGACAAAGTATTCTGGTTTCTGAAACGAATTTCTCACCATAAATTAACATGTTTCATTCTCTTTTTATATATAAGAAGTTCAAAGTGTTGAGTGGTTAAGGCAGGTGCACATTCACACGGATTCCAGAACTTCCACATCTCCCGGGCTTTGCTTCAAATGACTCCTTACACTGATCTACAGCTTGACCAACACGATGGACCCGTATGATGCAGCCCAGGACTCCACGGCAGGACACCTGGCTTCACAGACAGCTCAGGCAATTAGCTTTCCTTGTCTGTTTCTCCATCTGTAAACAGAGGGAGCCAACAAGCTCCCTAAAGCCCCTTCCACAGCTCAAATTCAATTTTAGGAATCCACCTCAAGGGATTCATATTTGCACAGACCACCAACAGCTCCGATAAGAGAACTGATGGATCAGCAGAGGTTTAAGGTATAGGCTGGAAAGGGAGGAGCCAAGAATAAAAAGCTACATTTCAAAACCCCCACATCTCTTGCTTCGTTACCCGTTACCTGGGCCTCAACAATTCCCAAACTCAGGTGCCACCGGGGCCTAGTCTCGATCTAGCACATCCCAATTCCGCCTTTCGAGAACTTCGAGTTGGTTTAAAATCGTGCTGCATATTCGTATTTTTGATTTGGCATCCAAGCGGCACCCGGTGGGCATTTCAAAGTGCCCACATCCTAAATCTCAAAACTCAGTCTGATTCTTCATCTCACAGCCACCGAGAACTCCGCTCCAGGGGAGGGGGAAATTGGAAGCGCTCCCCTTTCGGTTCTAAGCGCCGAGGAACTCGGGCGACAGCGTGGAACACGGCTGCGGGGCGGGAAGGGGTGCCGGACTCACATTTCTCAATTAGAGCGTCCTCGCAGTCTAGGCCGAAGATCTGCAGCTCCTCCGCCAGCTGCTGGGGGGATGCGGACATGGTCGCCCAAGCCAGGGGCCGGGGAGCCGGCCCACCCAGCTCCGACCTGTGCCCAAGAAACCCACGGGCCTGGCGAGCGATGAGCGCCTCGCCCTCTTATCCTTCCACCCTCCGCGGACCGTGACAGGAGGTGACTGGCCCAAGCAAGACCTCGGACCGTCAGAGGGCCCCGGCCGTCGGTCACAGAGAAATATGTTTTTTAAAAAATGAAGGGGTGGCCCCCAAACGCCCTGAATGGAGGGAGCAGAAATCTCGAGAGGACGCTTTCCTGGAGAGAACGTCCTGCTTCCTAAAAGCTACCGCTGAGTTTCTCAGTGACGGCGGCAGAACAGGGTGGCCGGGAAAAACCCGCCAAATGGTTTGTGCAGCGCACGCATGCGCGAAACCGGGAGCCAACCCCAACCCTTCCGCTTGCTTTCCCCGGCTCATTCCGGGACCCGACGCGCGCACGCGCGGCCCAGGGCGCGTGCGCATCACCGGGCGTGTGGGCGTCTCTACGCACGCGCCTGGCGGCCAGCCAGTCGGCAGCTGCGCAGTTCTTTCTCACTGGGCGAGAAAGCCGGGTGCGACCCGCAACGCCCCGGGGTTACCTACACGGAAACTGAGTCTGTGTGCGGATACCTGTTTTCTGGGCATCGGCTGCTCGGTGAAGCTCAGTGGCTCATGTTCGTCACCCTTTTGCCCTGTTCCGTGGTGCGCAGGCGCTGTCGTGCGCGTGCCTTCAACTGTCTCAAACTTACTGTACCCCCTTCTCCATTCCCCTTGTCATCTCTGCCTGTTGTGCCCTTGGTTCATCCTAAAAGAATGGCTTCAGTGAGGAATCTGGTTGCCATGGTTATTATCGTGATTATCACCGTGGTGCCAGCCACAGTGATGGGTATGTTTTCTGAATCTGGGGCATTTTGGGGGATATGAGGTGGGAAGGTGACAGATAATAATTTAGTTGTGGACACGTTAAGTTTGAGTGCCTCTGGGATTTCCAGGTAGAGATTTCCAGTGGGTGACTGGAGGCTTGGGAGTGAAGGTAGGTCACTCAAGAATAGAGGTTAGGGGTAAGATGAGAAGAGGGTTCTCCCCTTAAAATACATCCTAATTCTTTGAGCCAAAAATCTCTACCGTAGGAGTCATACTTTGCTGGTGGGATGGTAGAGCGTTTCTAGAAAACAATTTAGCAATATGTATCAGGAGCCTTAAAAATGCCCGTCCCAGGCCGGGTGCGGTGGCTCACGCCTGTAATCCCAGCACTTCAGGAGGCTGAGGCGGGCAGATCACTTGAGCCCAGGAGTTCAAGTTCATTCTGGGCAACACGGTGAAACCCCTTCTCTACAAAAAATGAGCCGGCGGTGGTGGCGGGTTCCTGTGATCTCAGCTACTCCAGGGGCTGAGGCAGAAGGATTGCTTGAGTTCGGGAGGTCGAGGCTGCAGTGAGTCATGATCGCCTCACTGCACTCCAGCCTGGGCAACAGAGCAAGATCATGTCTCAGAAAGCAAACAAAACTGAAGTACTTGTGACCTCTAGTCAGCCAATGGCTGCTTGGCTGTATTTTGAATTTAGGCCTAGTTAGCCATTCCGGATCCATCATGAACCTCTTTTAGGGTTCACACCCTTAAGCCTCAAATGTTTACTATCTGGCTCTTTATGGAAAATGTTTGCAGTTTCCCACCATCAGCAGTAACTAATGGATAGCAAATGTGTTACATACGTATTTTTCCCAACCTGTCTTTTAGCTTTGTGTATGTGTTTTTTTTTTTCTACACAACATTGTACAATTATTTTCCTGTATGGGTTTTAGGTTTCCTGCTTTGTATAATAAGGTATCCTCGACCTAAAGTTATGAAAATATTCTTCTAATTTTTGTTTATTAATTTTACTTACGTTTTGCCTTTAGTTTGCTAATCCACCTAGAACTAATCTTATTTGTGATGTGAGGAAGGATTTAGCTTTTTTTTATTCCTGACAAACAGCCAGCATGTCAGCAGTTATACTTAGTAAATAAAACATTCTTCTCCAACTGACTTGAATTGTGATCTTTCATGTATCCAGTCCCCATAAATACTTGAATCTGTTTCTGGATTTTCTGTTTTATCCCACTGATTTATTTGTTGTCTTTTCTGTGTCAATATAATATTTTGATTGCAGGAGTAAATTAAGTGGGTTTTAGATCTGTGACATAGCCAAGTCCTAAAACAATAGTAGCTGAGACAAAACAGAATTTTATTTTTCTGTCAGGTAAAATAATTTCAGAGATAGGTAGCCCAGGGCTAAAATGATGGCTTCACGTTCATCAGGCCTCCATCTTTCTGCTCCACTGTCCTCGAATTAATCTCCATCCTTACAGTCACCTCATAGTACAAGATGGCTTCTGGAATTCCAGCCATCAGATTCACATTCCATTCCAGGTAGCAGAAAGTAGGAAGAAGAAATGGCAAATAAAACTTAAATAAACAAGAAAAGAGAGTGAAAAGAGGAATGAAACGAAAATGGAAAAAAGAAACAAAAAAATGACTTTTGCAAACCGTTGTCTATCCATTTTTGAAGAGGAGTCTTTCTAGAAATCCTTCTCAACCACTTTTGCTTAGACTTTAGCCACATAGCCATATCTTTATTTATTTATTTATTTATTTGTTTGTTTTTATTATTTTTATTTTTTTTTTTTTTTTTTTTTTTTTTTTTTTTTTTAATAGCCATATCTTTAAAGGGAGGCTGGGAAAGCCTTCTTATAAGTCCCATGTAATATTATTGAGAAACACCAGGATGGTCTCGATCTCCTGACCTCGTGATCCGCCCGTCTCGGCCAATAGCCATATCTTTAAAGGAGGCTGGGAAAGCCTTCTTATAAGTTACATTGTAATATTATTGAGGAAACACATTGCTACCCCATCAATATACAAATTTTGTTACTCAGAAAGGAGTTAATACTAAGTAAGCACTTAGTAGTGTTTGCCCCAAGTAGCTTTACAGTAACTTCCCAAAACTGTTGAAGCATTTTACTTTTTTTTTTTTTTTTGAGACAGGATCTTGCTTTGTTGCCCAGGCTGGAGTGCAGTGGTGTGATCAAGCTCTTTGCAGCCTCAGTCTCCTGGGTTCAAGTGATCCCCCAACCTCACTCTTCTAAGTAGCGGGGACTACAGGCATGCACTACCACACCTGGCTTGTTTTTGTTTTTGTTTTTGTTTTTGAGACAGTGTCTCACTCTGTTGCCCAGGCTAGAGTGCAGTAGAGTGATTTCAGCTCACTGCAACCTCTGCCTCCCAGATTCAAGCGATTCTTGTGCCTCAGCCTCCCGAGTAGCTGGGATTACAAGTGCCCACCACCACACCCAGCTAATTTTGTATTTTTAGTAGAGATGGGGTTTCGCCATGTTGGCCAGGCTGGTCTCAAGCTTCTGACCTCAGGTGATCCACCAACAGGCATGAGCCACAACTCCCAGCCTTGGACATATTTCTTGCAACCAGTCACTTTGACCAAATTCTCTTATTAATATTAATGTTTTAGGAGAATCTCAGATTTCCTAGGTTATAATAACATTTACAAATAAAAATATATTTTTCCCTTCTTCTCAAATATTGATACTAATCATTTTATTTTCCTGTCTTGGTGCATTGAACCAAACTTTGGAATCGTTGTTGAATCACAGTAGGCATCCTTGCCTTCTTCCTGTTTCTGATGGCACTGGCTTCAGCATGGCCTCCTTTGGTGTGATGAGTGTTATTGGGTTGTGTTAAGAGTGCATAATCTGCACTTTCGGAGGCTGAGGCGGGTGGATCACGAGGTCAGGAGTTCGAGACCAGCCTGGCCAACATAGTGAAACCCTGTCTCTCCTAAAAATACAAAAATTAGCCGGGTACGATGGCGGTTGCCTGTAATCACAGCTACTCGGGAGGCTGAGGCAGGAGCATCACTTGAACCAGGAAGGCAGAGGTTGCAGTTAGCCAAGATTATGCCACTATACTCCAGCCTGAGCAACAGAGTGAGATTCTGTCTCAAAAAAAAAAAAAAAAAAAAAAAAAAAATTAGCCAGGCGTTGTGGCAGTTGCCTGTAATCCCAGCTACTCAAGAGGCTGAGGCAGGAGAATCACTTGAACCCGGGAGGTGGAGATTACAGTGAACCGAGGTTACGCCACTGCACTCCAACCTGGACAACAGAACAAGACTCTGTCTCAAAAAAAAAAAAAAAAAAAAAGAGTTCCCTTTTCTTCACATCCTTGCCAACATCAATATTATTGTTATTCAAATTTTCTTCCTCCCAAATTTTCCTTCTTCCCCATGCTGTTATCTGAAACTAAGGCTTTCTGCATTGTGGGAGGCAAGATTTAAAAAAACAAAGCTTGGGCTGGGCACGGTGACTCACGCCTGTAATCCCAGCACTTTGGGAGGCCGAGGCAGGCAGATCGCCTGAGGTCAGGAGTTCAAGACCAGCCTGGCCAACATGGGAAACCCCATCTCTACTAAAAACACAAAAATTAGCTGGGCATGGTGGCGGGTGCCTGTAATCACAGCTTACTTAGGAGGCTGAGGCAGGAGAATCGCTTGAACCCAAGAGGTGGAGGTTGCAGTGAGCCAAGACTGCACCACTGTACTACAGCCTGGGTGACAGAGCAAGATTCTATCTGAAAAAAAATCCAAAGCTCTGAACTTTGAACCTATTAGCAACTGTTTATTGAGTTACTACTATGTCTGAGGCACTGAGTTAGACCCGTGGTGAAGGTGGTGGGAGCTCAGAGGGAATAACAACAGCAGCTGGGATGGGCACCTTGTTGGCCACCTCCCCCAAGTTATCTTTACTCCTTAGGCAGCCCTGTGTGCCATGACTGTTCCCACCCTCCCATAGTTCTCCCTATGGAGGCCACTGTCATCTGCTTAAAATTTAAATCCGATCATGTCAGCATTCCTCGTCCCCTTAGAACCCTGTCAGTGAGTTCCTCTTTCTTTTAGGATGAAGATTAAGCCTCTCAACCTGACCCAAGAGGCCTTTTTCTTGTTCTTTTTTTTTTTTTTTGAAACGGAGTCTCGCTCTGTTGCCCAGCCTGGAGTGCAGTAATGCGATCTCGGCTCACTGCAAACTTCCCCTCCCAAGCTCAAGCAATTCTCCTGCCTCACCCTCCCTAGTAGCTGGGACTGTAGGTGCCCACTGCCACGCCCAGCTATTTTTGTAGTTTTAGCAGAGATGGGGTTTCACCACATTGGCCAGGCTGGTCTTGAACTGCTGACCTCAAGTGATCTGTCCGCCTCGGCCTCCCAAAGTGCTGGGATTACAGGTGTGAACCACTGCACCCGGCCATTGAAGAGATGTTTTTAATTTTGATGAAATCCAGTTTATCATTTTTTCTTTTATGGTTTATGCTTTTTGTTTCCAAGAAATTTTGCATAACCCAAGATCACAAAGATTTTTTCCTTTTTTCTTCTAGGCTGAGGTGGGTGGATCACTTGAGGCCAGGAGTTCAAGCAGAACATGAACGAAGTGTGGGACTCTTCTGAACTCGGGGCTCTATGCAGTTGCACAGGTTGCACGCCCATGAAGCCGGCTGTGTTCACAGTTGTTCCCAGCTAATGCCAGAGGGCCCCTTTGCTTGAAGCCAGCAGCAGGTTGGGACCACTCTGGTGAACTGCCCTTCTTTGGACTTGGGCGTCTCAGTTGCTCCATTTCTGCTCAATGGGGCTGTATTATAATCCTCACCATAGCCTTCTGAGACCTGCTGACGGCTGTGAGAAGGGAGGAGTGTGCTAGGAACAGACCTGGCTGGGTTTCCTCTCCTGAGTGAGCTGGGTGTGGGCTAGGATTGTATGACAACCGACCTTGGCTTGCCCTTGAATGAGTGCTTGCTAAGAGAGAAGTAGTCCTGGGAACCCAAGAAGGGTGGCCCCGAGGAGATAACAATGGACACATTATTTAAACTTTTTTCCTTCTTTTGCAATTCTGCATAGTCATCCTCTCTTGCACAGAACTTCCGTCTAGAATGGTAGGACATCACCCATAACAGTCATATTCATCATGTATTACCTTATGTGTTAAAAGCATTTAGGACTCTTTAGGAGTGGGGCTCCTCTTGCAAATGAGGGAGTCTTTGTGCCAGTGCCTCAGTGGGACCAACGCTGGAGCAGAAACCGTGAGAGGAGGGCATGGTGGAAATGTTCTAGATGTGTGCTGCTGGATTCGGTAGCTGCCCGCCCCACGTGGCTACTGAACACTTGGAGTGGGGCTAGAGAAGCTGAGGAATTACATTTTAAATTTCATGTAGTTTTAACTAATTTAAAAAATTTCTGTAGCTACATGTGGCAGTGACAACCTGGTTAGACAGTAGAGACTAAATCTAGAGCCTAGAACCACGTGATCTGCCCGCCTCAGCCTCGCAAAGTGCTAGGATTACAGGCATGAGCCACAGCACCTGGCCCTGCTAAATCTTTTTAAACCCACTGTTGACACCTGTTGCTCAGAAAAAAAAGATTCCTTTCAAACATTACTGCTCATTGACAATGGACCTGGTCACCGAGACATCTGATGGAGATGTGCACGGAGATGAATGTTTTCACGCCTGTGAACACAACATCCATTCTGCAGCAGGTGAAGGAATAATTTCAACTCTTAAGTTTTATTATTTAAGAAATACATTTTGTGGCCGTGCGCAGTGGCTCACGCCTGTAATCCCAGAATTTTGGGAGACTGAGGCAGGCGGATCACTTGAGGTCAGGAGCTCGAAGCCATCCTGGCCAACATGGTGAAACCCAGTCTCTATTAAAAATACAAAAATTATCCGGATGTGGTGGGCGCCTGTAATCCCACCTGCTTGGGAGGCTGAGGCAGGAGAATTGCCTGAACCTGGGAGGCGGAGGTTGCAGCGAGCTGAGATTGTGCCACTGCACTCCAGCCTCGGCAACAGAGCAAGACTCCATCTCAAAAAAAAAAAAAAAAAAAAAAAAAGACGTTTTTGTAAGGCTGTAGCTGCCGTGGAAAGTGATTCCTCTGATGGATCTGGGCAAAGTAAATTGAAAACCTTCTGGAAAGGATTCACCTGACTGATTTGACCTGCAAGGCACGATGAACCACTCTTAGATTTAGGGTTTCTTCTTTTTTTTTTTTTTAAGACGGAGTCTCGATCTGTCACCCAGGCTGGAGTGCAGTGGCCGGATCTCGGCTCACTGCAAGCTCCGCCTCCCGGGTTTACGCCATTCTCCTGCCTCAGCCTCCCGAGTAGCTGGGACTACAGGCACCTGCCACCTCGCCCGGCTAGTTTTTTGTATTTTTTAGTAGAGATGGGGTTTCACCGTGTTAGCCAGAATGGTCTCAATCTCCTGACCTCGTGATCCACCTGTCTCGGCCTCCCAAAGTGCTGGGATTACAGGCTTGAGCCACCGCGCCCGGCCTAGGGTTAATTCTTTACATAGACAGCAAAAAGGAGGACAAGCCTAAGATGCCAGCCCCTGCGGTCCTTGTCCCCTACACCAAAAAGGATGACCCTGAAAGAGAAGGGGCTGGTGGCTGAAAGGGGAGTTAGGGGATGCCCCGTAGCTGAGGAGCCTATTCCAGATACAGCTGAGTAATTTTATCTTCTGCAGCTCTATTTAGAGGACGGCAGGGCAGAGAGCCTCAGATCTCACAGAACCTGGAGGTGATGCAGAACCGTCTCATGACAGCCTCCAGGGGAAATGGGGAGGCCAATGGGAGGTGGCCTGGTAGCAGCTACTATAGGCCTTTCACCCTCTGGATGATGGCAAGATGCCCTGCCAAGACTCAGATGAGCTGCAGCTGAAGCCTTTGCCACCTAGCCTAAGTATTTTGGTCTCTGGCCTTTCTTTCTTTCCCTCTCTTTCTTTTCCTTCCTTCCTTCCTTCCTTCCTTTCTTCCTTCCTTCCTTCCTTCCTTCCTTCCTTCCTTCCTTCCTTCCTTCCTTCCTTTCTCTCTCTCTCTCTCTCTCTCTCTCTTTCTTTCTTTCTTTCTTTTTGAGATGAAGTCTCACTCTGTTGTTCAGGCTAGAGTGCAGTGGTACAATCTCGGCTCACTGCAACCTCCACCTCCCAGGTTCAAGCAATTCTCCTGCCTCAGCCTCCCGAGTAGCTGGGATTACAGGCATGCACCACCACACCCAGCTAATTTTTGTATTTTTAGTAGAGACAGGGTTTCACCATGTTGGCCAGGCTGGTCTTGAACTCCTGACCTCAGGTGATTCACCTGCCTTGGCCTCCCAAAGTGCTGGGGTTACAGTTGTTAGCCACCGCATCTGACTGGTCTCTGGTCTTTCATATATCCAGCTAAGGGGTATAGCTGCACCATCAGATACTCTAGCTGTTTGCACTGATAGGGACTTTACCAAAAACTTTTTTAAAAAAACAAAAAACAAAAAAACAAGGTCTTACTCTGTCACCCAGGCTGGAGTACAGTGGTCTGATCTTGGCTCACTGTAACCTCTGCCTCCCAGGCTCAAGTGATCCTCCTGCTTCAGCTTCCCAAGTAGCTGGGAAGTACAGACCCATGCCACCACATTTTTTTTTCTTTAAGATAGGGTCTTTCTCTGTTGCCTAGGCTGGAGTGCAGTGGCGCAATCTCAGCTCATTGCAACTTCTGCCTCCTAGGTTCAAGCGATTCTCGTGCTTCAGCCTCTCAAGTAGCTGGGATTATAGGTGTGTACCACCATGCCTGGCTAATTTTTGTTTTTTTAGTAGAGATGGGATTTCCCCAAGTTGGCCAGGCTGGTCTCGAACTGCTGGTCTCAGGTGATCCGCCTGCCTCGGCCTCCCAAAGTGCTGGGATTACAAGCCCGAGCCACTGCACCTAGAAATACCATAATTAAACAATTATTTTAAAATTTTTGTATCTTTTTTTTTTGTAGAAACGAGTTCCCCATGTTGGTTTGGCTGGTCTCGAACTCGTGGACTCAAGTGATCCAACCGCCTCTGCCTCCCAAAGCACTGGGATTACAAGCGTGAGCCACTGCCTGGCCTCAAAATCATTTTTTTCTTTTTGAATTAGAGACAGGGTTTCACCATGTTGCCCAGGCTGGCCTCAAACTCTTGAGCTCAAGCGATCTGCCTGCCTCATCCTCTCAAAATGCTGAGATTATAGGTATGAGCCACCATGCCCGGCCCCAAAACTATTTTATTTTATTTTATTTTATTTTATTTTATTTTATTTTATTTTATGTTTATTTTTATTTTATTTTTTGAGATGGAGTCTTGCTCTGTCACCCAGGCTGGAGTACAGTGGTGCAATCTCGGCTCACTGCAGCCTGTGCCCCTGGGGTTCCAGCGATTCTCCTGCCTCAGCCTCCTGGGTGGCTAGGATTACAGGTGCACGCCACCATGCCTGGCTAATTTTTTTTTTTTTTTTTTTTTTGAGGCGGAGTCTCGCTCTGTCGCCCAGGCTGGAGTGCAGTGGCCGGATCTCAGCTCACTGCAAGCTCTGCCTCCCGGGTTCACGCCATTCTCCTGCCTCAAGACTCCCGAGTAGCTGGGACTACAGGCGCCCGCCACTGCGCCCGGCTAGATTTTTGTATTTTTTAGTAGAGACGGGGTTTCACCGGGTTAGCCAGGATGGTCTTGATCTCCTGACCTCGTGATCCGCCCGTCTCGGCCTCCCAAAGTGCTGGGATTACAGGCTTGAGCCACCGCGCCCGGCCGCCTGGCTAATTTTTGTATTTTTAGTAGAGACGGGGTTTCGCCATGTTGGCCAGGTTGGTCTCGAACTCCTGACCTCAGATGATCTACCCGCCTCAGCCTCCCAAAGTGCTGAGATTACAGGCTTGAGCCACAGCGCCTTGCCATGAATGACTATTATTTTATTTATTCATTTATTTTTGAGACAGGTTCTCACTACATCACCCGAGGCGGAGTTGCAGTGGTATGATCTCGGCTCACTGCAGCCTCAACTTCCCTGGCTCAAACAATTATCCCACCTCAATCTCCCAAGCAGCTAGGACTACAGGTGTCTACCACCATGCCTGGCTAATTTTTAAAGTTTTTGAAGAGACAGGGTCTTGCTATTTTGTCCAGGCTGGTCTCATACTCCTGGACTCAAGTAATCCTTTTGCGTTGGCCTCCCAAAGTGCTGGGATTACAGGCATGAGCCACCACACCCAGCCTTTACTTTTATTTTTGAAGAAAATAGAATATCTCTCTTTCTCCTGCCAGCCATGTGAAGACGTGCTTGCTTCCCCTTTGCCTTCTGCAATGACTGTACATTTCCTGAGGCCTCCCAGCCATGCTTCCTGTACAATCTGCAGAACTGTGAGTCAATTAAACCACTTTTCCTCATAAATGACCCAATCTCAGGTACTTCTTTATAGGAGTGCAAGAATGGACTAATACAGAGACATTTTAAGGGGCAGATTAGGGATGGGAAAGGAAAACAGTCTCTCCTTTGGTCCTTGGGACTGGCTTCTCCTGGCTTTCTATGCATCTGTAACGCAGATTGGCTGTTTCTGGTGGGGGTTTCCCTCCAAGCAGCCCTGGCTTGTGGGTGGCTCTCTATAGGAGCCAAGATGTTTTCAGCGACCTTTCCTCCAGTTCAGTACCAGTATCCCCAGGGGCTTCCAGGAGAAGCCCCCAGGGGGCCGTCTGGACATCGGCTCAGGTGCTACTAGCAAGTACCAGGC